CTGTCCTGTCTCTCCTACCCCTTACCTTCTGATTTGCCTCCAGAACAGTTATGTCTATATTTTGCAGTTCCCCTAACTGAAAAGACAATCTTTTGACCCATTAGTTGCACTTGGATTTTGTATGTTGGGTGTTGGCAGTCATCACGAATCACGAATCACGACCATCCTGTTATTCGTCGATTGCCTCGAGCAGGCCCCAGTAACGTCTCCTTCATCCTAGCCCTGAGAATTTTAAGAAAGTGCTATATTCAAGGCTCTTTAGGGGAATGAGACCCAGCATTGTTACTGGTATTTGGCATATTGGGTACGCCACAGGGAGTTTGCCAAACTCTGCCGTTTGGACAGGTTACATTCGGTAGCCTGCCAGTTTGTCCAAAGTAGGAGTGAGATAATAAGATGTCATAAAAAGATGTCTTGGCCGTTGATGGGATTACACAGCACCAGGGGACCAGTTGGTGGGTGTGACTCCCGCCTACTGGAATTTGGAGGATCTGGGTGGAGGATGCTCAGCCCCGATCCGAGCAGGCTTGGAGATCTCAGCCCCGGGACCCACTTGCCTTTGTTCCTCTGCCAGTACCTTCAGGTGTGCGGAGAGTGGTCTCAGCATGGTGGTGGCTGGTCCTGGAGGTCTTCAGCTGCCGGAGCCCTGGTCGGGGCGGGGAGGAAAGCTCAACCCGCTCTCCTCCAAGGGGCCCCGGCAAGGACAGCCAGGCACGGGGGCAGTCATGCATGATACAAACAAAAACTTGAGCTGAGAGAGAGAGAGAGAGAGAGAGAGAGAGAGAGAGAGAGAGAGAGAATGGGGGTCAAGACACTTGCCTTGCACATAGCTGAGTCCAGTTTGATCCCAGCTCTACTATGATTCACCGAAGACAAGCAGGAATAGACTCTGAGCACCACCAGCTATGACCTAACCCCAACTGCACATTTTCCCAAAATAAGAAGCTTTTTAAAAGCGCTGGTGTAAGAGGTAGAAGAAATAGCTCAAAGAGCTAAGCTTATGCTTGGCATGTGGGAGGCCCAGGTTTGATCCTTGGCACTGTATGGTCCCAGAGCAGCACTGGGTGTGACTTCCCCAACCAAACAAAATATACACTGCCGGTGTATTTCCATAGATCACTTCACTAAGAAAAAGAGCTTTATTGGGGGGTGGGGGACACACAGGGAGGCATCTGAACTGGGGACACCAAAGGAATCAGCAAATCCACTCACATGAACAGAACCACCTAACATATCAAAGGTTTGTGAACAGAAACAAATGGTGATTTGATTTGGGATTGTTCTTTTTTTTTCTTTTTTGTGATGATCTTGGGATAAAACCCAAGGTCTCACTCATGTGTGCAGAGAGCACTATCTCTGAGTTATATTTCAGCCCCAACAGAAGTAAGTGTTTACTGCCATAAGCCAGCAGAGCTCTGTGACTGCTTGCTACATGCCATAACTAATAAAATGCATTTGCCTAAAATGTTGATACCTGAGGATGACCCATATGGTACTAACTGAAATAGTAAACAAAGTTCTATACTTGAAACCCTGCCCATGTTATAGGGAGCAGCCCCAGACAGGTGATTGAAGTTTTCTCTCTAGGTAGATTTAAACTACTGTAAATTTTAAATTTAAATTTAAAATTGAAACTACTGTAACTTGCTCCTTAAATACCAGCTGCACGATCTTGCCTGCTACATAAAATTTAGTTATGTGCATTCTTTCTATAAGAGTGCCCAGCCCTCACTGGTGAAGGTACGGGTGTTTCATTGTATGACCGAGACTTAAACCCGAAAGCTTTGTAACTGCTCTCACGGTGATTCAATAAATAAAGTTATAAAAAAAAATATAAAAAGAAGTAAGGTGGAGTTCATGCCCAATTCAATCAGCCTAATCAGTGGCTGAATAAATACCAGTACTCCTACACAAAAAAGTAATAATAAAAAATAAAAAAATAAAAAGAGTGCCCAGCCCTGTCCTCTCTGCCAATCTGGACAACATCAGTCCCACAAGGTCTGGTATTTAAAACCAACCCTTTCTTTTTTCCTTTTTTTTTTTCTTTTTTGCTCGAGCGGGCCCAGTAACGTCTCCATTGTGAGACTTCTTGTTACTGTGTTTGGTATATTGAACACTCTTGGTAGCTTGCCAGGCTCTCCAAGAGGGGCGGAGGAATCGAACCTGGCTCGCCCTGGCTGGCTACGCGCAAGGCAAATGCCCTACCGCTGTGCTATATATATATAAAAAAAAACTGTATTGGGGCTGGAGCAATAACACAGTGGGTAGGGCATTTGCCTTGCACGCGGCCAACCCGGGTTTGATTCCCAGCATCCCATATGGTCCCCTGAGCACCGCCAGGGGTAATTCCTGAGCGCAGAGCCAGGAGTAACCCCTGTGCATTGCCGGGTGTGACCCAAAAACCAAAAAAAAAAAACTGTATTAGTGAATCACCGTGGGGTACAGTTACAGACTTACAAATTTTCGTGCTTTCGTTTCAGTCACACAATCCCTTTCTGAATGACTCGGCTTCCTCCCATTTATTTGCAGGATCCTCTCTGGCCTATTAACAAGTAGGTTGTTTCTTGCCTGAACCAAAGCTGAATACGTAACACTTGCTGCCTATACAGCTGTTGGCGCATAGCCACACTTTGCGTTATCTTTAATTTAATTAGTTCCACGAAGCAGACCCCAGTTTTCACTTAAAAAATTCTTCAAGCTTTGCAAAATGGAGCAGAGGAGTTTCACAGAAGACGTTCCCATTTAGAAGTTGAACACTGAGGGGGAAAAGAACTCATAGTTATGCACGACGGTTAATGAAATAAACCAAAGAGGAAGTTCAGAATTTCAAGATCCCAGACCAGAATTTGTGGAATGTAACCCTATTCTATAACTCCTATTAAATAAAATAAGTCCTTTCTTAAAATGCCTTTTTCTGGGAAAATATTCCTGGTTTCCCATCTCCTCAAACAACGTACGTTCTCACCCTTTTTCAAATAAATATCCATTGGGCAAAACATGCTTTTACCCTCCTTCAAATAAATGTTCACTGAGGTTTCCTAAGAGTAATAGTACAAGAAGGAGGCGCTTTTCTTGAACACACCCCTGTTCAAGTTCTCAACACCACAGATGGTCTCCAGAGCCCCACCAGGAGTGATCACAGAGTACAGAGCCAGGAGTGAGCCCTGACCCCCAAACTAACAAGACAACCAATGTCCACCTCACTTTAATTGTATTTCTCCCAATGAATCATACCACATTTACCTTGTGTGATAGACAGTCATGTTCTAATTTCTTCTCACCTTTCTCCAGCACCACAAGCAGAAGTTCCTCAGAGCAGAGGCCACTCTAGTTCCAGATGTATCCACCGGCAGGTGCCCTGTGAGTATTCTGTGGCTTCCTCTCACCTTCCTCGGTCCCTGGGAAAGGCTCTAATGCAGGCCGTCATCAAGGCTCCCCCAGAAAATTGCAAAAACTCTGGGGTCTGGCCTTGTGGTTTCTCTTTCTTCCTCATCTTTCAGTCAGCAAAACACAATGTGGAACCCAGTTCTGAAAGGAAACCTAACCAGGCTGTTTTCTTGCTAAAAAAGGAAAACAAATGTCCGTATTTTACTAGTTCCCCTTTGCTTCAAGTAAAAGTCAAGGTCTTTGGCATACTGTGTGGGGCCCACGAGGGTCTAGCCTAACCTGCCGACCTTGCTCCCTTCACACCATCAGGTGTTACTTACTCCAACTGGTGGGCTGGGTTATCACGTACCCCATCAGGCTGCTTTGCTCTGACTGTACCAGGTGTTTTCCTTCCTGCTTGTCTCATATGGTCCATCCTGACCCAGTCACACACCAATACGCAGTGAAAAGTAAGGACTGGAAGGACCCAGATCTGCTTTAATTGTGGCCCAGGGTACTGCCATTGTTACTGGCTCATCTCAGCTTGACATAGGAAACTGAAGTCCTCGGGAAGCTCCCCCCATCCTGATCTTGTGGGATTAGAGTAGGATGATATTAACCTGGAGCGATAGCACAGCAGCAGATAGGGGGTTTGCCTTGCAAAAGGCCAACCCGGGTTCGATTCTCCCTCTCGGAGAGCCTCGCAGGCTACTGAGAGTATCCCACCTGCACGGCAGAGGCTGGCAAGCTACCCGTGGCGTATTCAATATGCCGAAAACAGAAACAAAAAAATCTCACAGTGGAGACGTTACTGGTGCCACTCGAGCAATCGATGAACAAAGGGAGGACAGTGCTACAGTGCTACAGATGTTAACCTGGGTTTAGGGTCAGTATTCATGGAGGCACTCCTGCCATCCTTTATGCCCAAGCCCTCCCTGGTCCCATGAAGACTCGCTAGATGCCTGCTGTTCGAGTCCACAGAGCCTGGTTTCACTGAGCACGTATTACGTACTAGATACTGTTCTCAGTCTTCAAGTGAAGTAATCTGTTTGACTCTCCCAGCACTCTTATATCCCTATTTTATATGTGAGAGTTAGAAAACGTTGATTAACTTTTCAGAGATCATGCAGATCTATTAAAACTGTTAAAAATAGAATCTGCCTGCTGGTCCATGCAACCCAAAACCTGTCACTGTCACCCCTCCTCCTCTGTCTTCCCTAGATTCCTATTTTCCAGGAGTCCTTTTCTCATTGCTTAAACTTTCCTTTCTCAAGATCAGAGGAAAAGTAAAGCCTAAAAAGAGAATGTTTCCACTTGTGTTTTCTTTTTTTTTTTTTACATGTCTAATTTTAACTCCACCCCAGTGATACCTGGATGGCCCTCACTACTGCTGATCCTTCTCTCTGTGTCCGTTTACTTATCCCTGAAAACAACTTTTTAACACCCGCATTTGAGAGTGTAGCAAAGAACCATGTACTGCAGCCAGGTTTGCTTCTTGCAAGTCATATCTGTTTCTCAGCCAGCTGGAAACCACACAATTGCTTCCTCTTCATCTTTGTAGTGAGAGCACAGCATTTGTCACTTTGTGCCTGACGAACCCTGGGGATATCACAGAGGAGCTTGTGCTGGTCCAGATGGCACGCATCCCATACATGGCATCCTTCTTTCTCTTTCTGAGTAAGTGGTATAATTCTGTGTGTTTCTCGTGTCACAAGGGCTAGTCGACTAGAAGCTACTGGGTGATGGAGCAGGACAAATGGGTCTCTACCGGCACAATCTTACCACATGTCTCTGGTGTTTGCAGTAATTTTTGACTGATTGCTGATGCTTCTTGGTTTATGTCCTTGAGATCTCCTTGAGTTCCATGGAGACACAGTGCTTGGCTGAGTCTTTCAGGCTTATCCATTTTTCTGTGTCGCTGTGTTGGCCATTTTGCTGGCCTTACTTTCCCCCTTCTCTCCCCAGATTAACTGACCTATCTCTGGACCGTAAGAGACTTATCTCCAAATCTGAGAGGGAGTGATCTTAGGGTGTGCCTGACGTTAGAACTTGACTAGATAACATGTGCTTTGATGACATGGTTATATGTGGAAGGCAAGTTTATGGGAGCACTTAGCAATGTTTGGCTAAGCTCCAAGAAGTTTCTGGTATTCATCTGACTGCTGAAATGGAAGTTGACTGCCAGGAGACCATGATCGGGTCAGGAAGATTCACTTGCCTATACTGCTGAGGGCCATTTGGGGAGAGGAGGGATTTAACTGGCCCAGGAGCATTGATACATGTTAGAAGAGTGGAAGAGGATATTTGGAAATAGGTGGAAGAGATAGAGTAGTTGGGAATAAGATGCCATAGTGAGTTTCAGAGTGTACTGTAGGTATTTTTGTTCTATGCGTGCCTTTAGCATCTGGTGAAGCCTGTTGGTACCCCAAACAAGAACTTTTTTTTTTTTTGCTTTTTGGGTCACACCCGGCGATGCACAGGGGTTACTCCTGGCTCTGCACTCAGGAGTTACTCCTGGCAGTGCTCAGGGGACCATATGGGATGCTGGGAATCGAACCTGGGTTGGCCGCGTGCAAGGCAAACGCCCTACCCGCTGTGCTATTGCTCCAGCCCCCAAACAAGAACTTTTTAAAAAAAAATCCATAAAAATCTATTTATCGGATTATAAGGAAGGCAGTCATACTGAATGCAGCTATCAGAAATGTTCTCAGATTGTTATGTAGCAATTTTATTCGCTTCTTTACTGGTACATTGCATGAACAATATCTACAGATGGTCTGTTAGCCACGAAACTTGAAAGTAGTGATGAAAATGAATAATATTTCAAGATACCTGTCACAGCTGAAATGTGATTCAAAATACACATGGTGTATTGTCTACAAGCATAACTAAGGGAAGGACTAAATAGCCATTAAGATGACTGAAAATGAAGATGTGTTTTTTTTCTCTTCTCTCAAACTTTGTACCGTTTAAGCCTCTGTAAACCCAGGTCAAGAAGGTATACCTTAGAGAAAACAGATTGAGTTAGTACAGGAACTTAAGAGGAAGTAGACAAGGTTGGAATGAGTGAGACCAACATGCAGAGGCATCAGCATTCAGCATAAAGTTTGCTTCATAAGTGTTAGCTTGAGTTACACAGATCTCGTGTCTCAGTGGACATTGGAGTACATGAGATAAGGGGCTAGGTTAGAGGTGGTGTGTGGAGTAAATTAATGGGGCCCACTGTTGGGTGGTCAGTGTACCCCAGACTTGGTTGGCAGACCCTGCTGAGTGGGTAATCTGGGTTGAGGGCATTTGGGGAGATTATTGATTGATGTGTTTCCATTGGTTCTGTCTAAAGTTCAAAATATGATTCTCAAATGTATGTGTTTTTGTATTTGGACTGTATTTGACTCTTGTAAGTGGGGCAAGGCTGGGCTTACGCTTTGCAGTAAGTCAGAAAATGGCAAACTCTCTAAAAGACCGTGTTTGCCTGTTTGTCTGTCATTCATATGAGTAGGTTTCCTGTGAAGTTTCTTTTACCTAAACATCTCTTTCTTAAATTGTTATTATCTTACCAAATCTCCAAAGTCCTTTTCTAATACTATCTTCAACTAATCTTATCTAGTTTCTCCATCAAAGTGCAATCTCTCCTTTCAAATTTCTCAAAACACTTTTATCATATCTCTTTTACAGAGAGACAACTAGAATTATGATCTCTAGAAGTCAGACATTATCCCACCGTCATCTCTGTATTTAGTCCCTGAAGCGTCAGAAATGCTACAAAGGGTTGAATAAAAATGTATTGAATTGGCAAATAAAGTAGCAGAAAATGGAGTACCAGCTTTCATAATAAAATATTTCAAATGTGCCATTATCTCTCTGAAAGAAAACGCTGACAAAGCCTTGTCTAGTCACCAAAAATAATCTTTTGAAAGCTACACTGATATAATCAATACCTCAGATAACATGTTTTTCAAAACATTTGCAGTAGAGAATATAACATAGAAGAAAATGGGCAACAGTGCTGGAACTATTAGTACAGATGCAGGGCTCTTGCCGTGCACATGGCTGACCGTGCACCAGCATCTCTGTGGTCCCCTGAGCACTGTCAAGAGTAATTCCGGAGTGCAGAGCCAGGATGCCCTGGGCATCACTGGATATGGTACAAAAACAGAAACGAAAGAAAAGTTAGCAACATGTGCTATTTAACACATAGGTGAACACAGTCTTGACATGGGTACTGCATCAAGTAAGGCAGTATTAGGATCCAAGGAACACCCACCCAGACACGTCTCCAGATCCCAACCTCCTTCCACAGTCACTCTTCCAAATTCCCAGATAAATGCTTCCTACTTCCTTTAATGTTTGACCTCTGATGTTTGTGTTACTAGACAACACAGTGTGGTTTGGCTGGTTGTCATAGAGAATTTTTCTCTATATGATAAAAAATAAAATTCTTGGGGCTGGAGCAATAGCACAGCGGGTAGGGCGTTTGCCTTGCACGCAGCCGACCTAGGTTCGATTCCCAGCATCCCATATGGTCCCCTGAGCACCGCCAGGAGTAATTCCTGAGTGCATGAACCAGGAGTAACTCCTGTGCATCGCCGGGTGTGACCCAAAAAGCAAAATAAAATAAAATAAAACTCTTAAAATGTTTTTCATCTTTCACTAAACAGAGTCTTCCATGTTATTGCAACCAACTGCATATTTATTTTCTTTCTGCACAATATTCTACTTTATGAACAGACCATAATGTGGGTACTCTCTGGTTTGGATAACAACACAATACGATGCTGAGACAGTTCTATCACTTGTAGCCCGGTGCCTGTGCCAACATCTCTGACATGAATGGCTAAAACTGGTATTGCTGAGTATAGAATTTGTTTTTGTTGTTCTTGTTTTTTGGGCAATGCCCATCAGTGCGCAGGACTTACTCCTGGTTCTGTGCACAGGGAATCATACGTAGTACCAGGGAATAAACCCTTGGATTGGTCATGTGCAAGGTAAGTGCATTACACCCTATACATCTCTCCCGCCCTCTGGAAATATTTTAAATTCTTCTGTAGTATAATTTTCTTGTTAAGTAACATATTTCTCAAGGGTGAGTAGAGAGAGCTCGCAGGACTAAAGACATGCCTTGCCAAATGCAAAGCCAGTTCTACCCAGTTCCCACTTCCCCCAGCACCTCATAGTCTTCCCACCCTTCCCTCCAAACACAACTAGGAGCAATCACTGAGTACAGGTTTGGGAATAGCCCCCAGGTACTCCAGGGTGTTTACCCCTCCCCCAAAAAATAAATTAGCAAAATGTTATCAGCCTATCTAATTTCTTTTCCTAGATTACTATAAAGACAGTATAATATAAATGTATCCCATAAACTGTGATTTATAAATAAATTAAAATGCTTCTAATTACTTCTGAAAATATGTGTAGTTATTTCATGTTTATTATTCAGTTTTACCTCATACACATATGGTCACATTTTAGGTGACTATCTCATGTAACCATTGAGCCTTTCTGGCTATTCCCCATGCCCACCTTCCACGCCCACCTTGAAAATTGCTTCCATTCGCAAAATTCTCTATTTTCAGCTTTGTCCTGGTCACTATGAACTCATTTGTTCTTCTCACTTTTTTCCTTCTGTTCTAATCTTCTTTACTCTTTGTCCTGCGAATGTAGGAAATTTAGTAGTGTTCTTCTTCCGTGTTTTCTTAGGAACTCCATTCTGTTGTCTTCCACAGTGCTCACTTCCCTGTGGTCCTTCTGCCCTGCCTTGTTCTTGCATCAGAAACCTGGGCCCCCAATGAAAACTCTGACTCAGAGTCACCCTGGGATACAGCACAGAGGGATTGAGCATGTGCCTTACAAGAGGGAGAGCCCAGGTGCCATCCCTGAACTACATGTCTCTGAGCCAGAGAGTCTTGATGGCTCTGGGGACGTTCACCTGCCAAAAAAAAGAGAAATATCTAGATCTCCCACCCTTTTTGGCCTACTTGTTTCTTGTTTTTTCTACCCCAATAAAAAATAAACTTTGTTCAGAAACTAAACAATAAGACCCATTGTATTTACTGAATTTGGCATATTGAATATGCAATGGATAGCTTGCCAGGATCTGCCGTGCGGGAGGAATACTCTCGGTAGCTTGCCAGGCTCTCCGAGAGGGATAGAGACTTTTAGGGGGGCCTCTAATCGCCCTTGCAGGTGTTCCCATGGTTCAAATCATATTTGAACCCTATCAAATATTGTGCGGCAATCCTGGAAGATAGATATTAAGTGTCTTATGATGTGTCGCATGGCCGTGAAGCGTCCGGAAAGCATCCTGGAGTGTGGTGGCGCCTGGGTTGTGGAGGTAGTGGCGGTAGTGGAGGTTTGCCGGTGAGGTATTTATCTGGTACCAGTAGGGTGGATCTTCTGTGTGTAATCCCTGAATCGCCACAGCCGGGCACTGGCCTTGGTGGAAGCAGACAGAGCAGGGTAGGGTGGGGCTCCTGGTTTTAATCCTTTGGTCACCTGTGGTTGGTGGGAGCAGGCAGAGAATCTCTATTCTTGGGTCCATTGAGCCCGGAGTCCAAGGTCTCAGAGTTTTACTTACCTGGTTCTGTGGGGCTTCACTCATGCATGAGTCTCAGCCCTGGAGCGTGGAGGCAGCTGGGTAGTGGACGTAATGGGGGTTGGTTTGAGGCTCTTCATGTTCCTAGAACTAGCAGACGCCATTGGGCTACACTAGCACGCGGCAGGGATGAATGGAGACGTTACTGGTGCCCGCTCGAGCAAATCGATGAGTAACAGGATGTCAAGTGACCAGATACTAAACATACATTTTCATTTCTGAAAATGTTCAGTTTTGCAAAGGTGTGTTCATCAGAGGAAATGTTGCTACTTAATAATGTTTTCTCCTTTAAAGCAAGTAGTTCACATAAGGCCCACAAGGAAGCTTTCCTTAGAGATCCCAACTGAAACGTTAGGGTAAGACAGGAACTAAATCAATTCTTCCAGATTCATATTTGTAAAGATCCATAAAGATCCATCTTGTGAAGCATTTTGAGAAAGCTGTAGTGGCTCTTTAAAACATAACAAAACAGAAAACCCTTCAAAGGAGAGAGAGGAAATGCCAGTTTCTTCTTCAGATGCTAATTTTAGCTAGTCCTGCATCAGACCAGGCCAAAAGCTGCAAAGAATTCTAACCACCCTGAAAAAAAAAAGAAGTGTGTGGTGAGAGTCACACCATGGACTTTACCTGTTTATCAATCACTTCTGTGACAACAGTTACCAAGGAATTGAGGCTTGAGGAAGTATGGGCTGAATTTCCTCCTAAAATAACAAATAGGTAAATTCCCATACTCCATATTCATTTCATAATAAGTGCTCTTGGCTTGGCAGGTTTGTTTGGCTATATCTGAAGATGAAGCTGTGGAAGGTAAAATTATACAAGAACAGTGCACTTATCTAGTCATTTCCCTACTCTTCACTCTGAACATTTGAGTAGCTTCTAGCTAATAATCTGTGATCTCATTATCTGAACTGTAACACAGGGAGCGACATAATGTGGGAGGTATATTGGGCACTGGTGCACTAATCCATTTTTATTTTCCTTTCTCTCTTGTCTTTGCAAGCTAAGATCAGCGTCAGCCAGAGACAAGTAACAGTTCAGAAGGGCCCTCTGTTCCGGACTGTAGGTTACCCTGCCAGCATTGGCTGCAATGTGACTGGCCACCAGGGACCCTTTCAGCAGGATTTCCAGTGGTCTTTTTACCTGCCAACAGACCCAAGCAGGGAAATCCAGATCATTAGTACCTCGGATCCACAGTTTACATACGCGGTTTATAACACTCGAGTTCAAAGTGGAGACATCTACATAGAGAGGCTCCAGGGTAACTCCGTGTTGCTCCACATCTCAAATCTCCAGATGAAGGATTCTGGCATATACGAGTGTCACACGCCCAGCACTGATGAAAGATATTTTGGGGTATACAGTGCAAAGACAGAGCTCATTGGTAAGTGTTTTGCCTTCCTTTGCTTGCTAGCAGTCTCTTGAGAAGTTGGAGTGTCTCCATTCCAGTGGCTTGCAATGGGACCCACATGCCCTTCTGGCTATTTGGGGGATCTGTCAAGAATTGAGGGGCTGGAGCAATAGCACAGCGGGTAGGGCGTTTGCCTTGCACGCGGCCAACCCGGGTTCTATTCCCAGCATCCCATATGGTCCCCTGAGCACCGCCAGGGGTAATTCCTGAGCGCAGAGCCAGGAGGAACCTCTGTGCATTGCCGGGTATGACCCAAAAAGAAAAAAAAAGAATTGAATATTGCTTAGTCTGTAAAATTCTCCATTCATTCTTCTACTTTCTTTTTTCATGAAAAATTTAAAAGTATGTGGTTATCGCAAGGCCTATTCACAGCTGTCCCTAGGTTAGTACTAGCAAGACCATTAAGAAATAGAGCTTGGAGAGTTCTCTCTCTGTCTCATATACTTATTAACGCTCTTCTTGGAGGCAGAACACTAACATGATGAGAGAGCTGGCATTTTATATCTGAAACTATCATTCTTTTTTGTACTCTTCTATGGGGAGAGGGTCAAGGCATTGCAATTCTGATCCTGGCTCTTTGTTTAGGATACATATCTCCTCATTTTCAGCCTGGAAAAATCCTATATATTCCTCATCCCAGTCTAGATATTACCTTTTCTGTGAAGTCTGTGCTGGCCACCTTGGGCAGTATTCCCATATTTGCGTCTCTTGATGATGCTCTTTTTACACGCGCTGTGATTAGGATTTATCCAGTTTATATAGAAATGGGTTGTTTGTCTGGTTTCTCTCGCACTCACTCGGAGTTTTTTGTAAAGAAAACTTATCTTAGTTCCCAGGCTCAGTGGCAAACACTAAGTAGATGCTCACTACACACTGAGTCATAGCAGAGAGAAGGATGGTACTAAAATCTTGGCTAATGGTTGCGTTTGGCCCCTGAACGAAAACGTACGCAACCAATTACTTCAGAACTTTATTTTTAAAAGGAACAGAGGGAGGCTACAGGAAGTCAGGTGATTTGCTCCAGTTCATAGAGTCAAATGGGGACAGATATGAAGACCAAAGCTAGATCTTCTCACTTTTAGTATTTTCATTTGTAAATGCTCTAAATAGCTAATACTGATTACAACTTATATTACAAAATACCAATTTGGGGTCAGTATATCAATTATTGAACCATTTGGTTTGCCATATGTCATACACTGTATGTACATGGTAGATGCCAATGTTCCCTTGAGCAAGAGGGAAAGCATATGAATTGGAAGTAGCCAGAGGAAAACCAACTCCAGGTCTGTGCTTTAGAGATGGTTGGGTCAGGGTACCAGCCCCACCTACTGGGGCTTATCTTGTCCGTACTGGGCCAACTAATTATCATCAGTCCTTTTCTTTCAGTTATTCCAGATACCCTCTCTGCAGCTATGACGCCTCAGACACTCCATAAGGAGGAAGGTGAGCCGTTAGAACTTACCTGTGAGGCGTCGAAAGCCACAACTCAGCACACCCACCTCTCAGTCACCTGGTACTTGATGCAGGGCCGGGAAAGAAGTCAAGCCACCAAGATTATTTCCCTCTCCAGAGATTTCATGTTGATCCCTGGGCCCTCGTATTCACTAAGGTTCTCAGCCGGTGATGTGGGTCTCAGCAAGCTTGGGGCCACAACCTTCAGACTCTCCCTCAGGGGTCTCCAGCGCTCCGATCAAGGTGCGATCTTCTGTGAGGCCACTGAATGGATTCAGGATCTGAATGAGACCTGGACACTCATCGGGAAAAAGCAGACAAATGGAACAACTCTGATGATACGCCCAGCAGGTGATTATCTTCTCTAGGAATTCATGACTATTCTAGAAGTGAGTAATCATGGAGTAGCTTTTTAGTATTTGTAATATTTTGTTGGCTCAGAAAATTATTCAAAACAGTCAAGTAAACTTTGTTCTTGTCACTTGGTAGGTTGGACCGAAAAGTTCAATTGTGACATCCAAGTTCTGTCCACAGGTGTTTTCCAAGGGGATCAGTCCCAGGGACTGGCTTGATACTCCAAGTCATGCTTGGAATAATTGGGTTACCATTTTGACCAAGCTCTATGGTAGCACTTTATCCACAATATTTTATTTTAGTCCTAACTCTCTGAGGAAAGGATCTAGCTACCTATTTTTAAAAATTGAATCACAGCGAGATATATAGAGACAAAGTTGCCATGATTAGTTTCAGTCATTCAATGTTCAAACACCCATCCCTTCACCAGTGTAAATTTTCCACCACCGATGTCCTCAGTTTCCCTCCTGCACCCACTGCCACTGCTGGCCTTTATAGTGGGCATTTTCTTCTCTCTCTCTCTCTCTCTCTCTCTCTCTCTCTCTCTCTCTCTCTTTCTCTCCGTCTCTTTATTTTTGGATACTATGGTTTACAATATAGATACTGGAAGGCCTACTTTCAACATTCGGTTCTTGTCCAGAGTGATCATTTACAACTATTATTTTCATGTTGGTCCCTGCTCTAACCAAACTGCTCTTCACCCTACACACAACCATTGACCAGTCCTCCTGGCCCCTGTTTTCCCTGACCGTTCCCTCTTTAGATATAACCTGGGTGTGGGAACGTCAGCAGAGTTCCGTGAGTTGGGGTTCTGGCTTAGTCCAGTCGCCGCTGGAGCCAGTTCCTGGGGGCTGCTGCCCCTGAGGACTCCATGCCCTCTAGTTGGTCTAATCTATTTTTCCTAGTTTCCCATAGGCAAAAGATTTGCTTAGGAAAAGTTGCTGTTTGAATTTTGCCACAGTGGGACAGGAGAACGTAGCTCCCCATTTTTAATCCAGGAAATCTGGGTTTCAAACATGCTTCATGACCTACTTAAGCTCACCCAGCTGGTGTTGGAGTGGTGGGGGCGAGGGCACCAATAACCTTTCACCAGGTAGTTTTATTTTCTAATTTTAAAGAACGCCCATGTATTTTCTTTTGTGGACTGACCAATTTATATTCCCTCCAACAGAGTTTGGGGGTTCCGTTTTCTTCTCATTCTTACCAATACTTTGATAATCAACATTTTAAAGATGACATGAGATCTCATTATGGCGGAGTTCCATTTATCTGGTTATTAGCATTCTTAAGCACCTTTTCATATACTTGGGGGCTATTTTTATGTATTTTGAGAAATGTTCGTGACAAAAACAAGTTTTTGTTTTTCTTTTTTGCTATTAAGTTCTATGAGTTCTTATATATTTTGGATGGTTTGGGATTCTTTTATGGTTTTAAAATATTTCCTTCTTTTCTATGGATTCTCTTCATTTAATTGCTTGTTTCCTTTTGCTGTGAAGAAGTATTAAATTTGATGCAATTTCGTTTGTCTATTTGTGAGTGCTATATTTTAGGGTAGTTATAATAGCTTTAAAGTTTATGATCTATTTGTCAATTTTTGCTTTTGGGTGTGTGTGTAATTTCAGGGTCACTTGTCCAAAAAGAAAAATCATAAATTAAACCAATGTAAATTAGATTTTCCCTTATCTTATTCTAATAATTTTATCTTATGAATACCTAAGTTTAATTATTTAATCCAATTTAATTTTTTTTCTTTTTGGGTCACACCCAGCGATGCTCAGGGGTTACTCCTGGCTTATGCACTCAGGAATTACTCCTGGCGGTGCTCGGGAGACCATATGGGATGCTGGGACTCGAACCTGGGTCGGCCATGTTGGCTGTGTGCAAGGCAAACGCCCTACCCGCTGTGCTATCGCTCCAACCCCATTAATTTTATATTTTAATATGGTGTGAGATATGGGTTTAAATTCATTCTTCCTCATGTGAATATTCAGTTTGGGAAAATTGTATATTTCAGTTTGCCATTTATCAGAAAAACTATCTTTTTGCTGGTGTGTGTTCTTTGTATCTTTGTGAAAGAGAAGTTCACCATAAATGCATAGATTTGGTTTTGGACTCTCTGTTTCATTCACTGGTTTATATGTTAGTTTTGATGTCAGCACTACACTTTGTAGTATGTTTTAAAATAGAGAAGTGTGGTATTTATAGTTCTGTTCTTGTTCAAACTTGCTTTGGAGTTCAGAATCGCTGTGTCTCTAAGTAATTATAAGGATTTTTTCCTTAGGGGTCCACTCCAGGTTTATCTTAGCTCTGAGCTCAGGGATCACCTCTGGCTTCGGCCAGGGGACTACAAGTGGTGCAGGAGATTGAACCCATGTCAGCTGCATACAAATCAAGCACCTTGTTTGAAGTTTTTGTCTCCAGTCTGAATATAAGAATTTTCTCTATTTTTTGATAAAAGATAAAAGTCATTCAAATTTTGGTAGCTAGTACATTAAATCTGAGAATTTCTTTGGGTATTATGGACATTTTAACAATACTAATTATTTCAACACATGAATATGGGGGACTTTTCCATTTTTTGTTTGTGTTGTATTCAATTTCTTCCATTAATATTTATTTTCTTTTTGTTGTGTTTTTGGTGGAGCAGGAGTTGTATGAAACACACTCAGGCGATTTCAGAGATGATTCACAGCTGTGTGCTCAGGGTCACTTTTGGCAGTGCCCAGGCCAGGCTCCTTACCTCCTGTACTATCGCTCCAGCCCCCAACATCAACGTTTAATAGATTCACTCTACAATTTTTACCTTCCTCTCATGTTTTATCTTTGTTTTTGTCCTTGCTGTTGTGTTTTAGGCCATGCCCAACTGTATTCAGGGATCACTTCTGGTGGGACTCAAGGGACCATATGCAGTGCTAGGGACCAAATCCAGGTCCACTCAATGCAAGACGAGTACCTTACCATTGTACTATGTCTCCAGTCCTTTTTTCACCTTTTTGATTACATTTAGTACTATTTAAGTCTCTTGTACTATTATTATTTTTATTATTATTATTTTTGCTTTTTTGGTCACGCCCGGTGGTGCACAGGGGTTACTCCTGGCTCATGCCCTCAGGAATTACTCCTGGTGGTGCTCGGGAGACCATAGAGGATGCTGGGAATCGAACCCAGGTTGGCTGTGTGCAAGGCAAACACCCTACCCGCTGTGCTATCACTCCAGCCCCTGTAATATTATTTTAAATCAGATTTCTTTCTTCATTTCTTTCTTTGTTTCATTCTTTCTTTCTATCATGAACAAAATTTACTTAGAAAAGGTCCTGGAGCAATAGTACAATATGTAGAGCCTTTGCCTTGCATGCGGCTGACCCGGGTTCAATCCCCAGCATCCCATGTGGACCCTGATCACAGCCAGGAGGAATTCCTGACTACAGAGCAGGAGTAACCCCTGAGAATCAACTGGGCATGATCCAAAAGGCAAAAAAATAATTTACTTAGAAATACATGAGAAAGGAGAAGAGAAGTATGTGTTTAAAGAACATGGGGCTGGTTTTGCTTTCTTAAATTATTTTTCTGATTATTTGTTGTTAGTGTATAGAAATGCAAGTGATTTTTTAAATTTTGTTATACTACCATGATTTACCAAGTGTTTATAATACAGTCATTTCAGGCATTCAGTGTTCCGTTACCAATCCCACCTCCACTGTGACCTTCCATCCACCAATGTCCCCAGTTTTCCACCCACTCCCCTGCTCCTTCATAGGTATGAATAAATTTACCTCATTTATTCATGCTCAGGGGTTACTCCTGGCTTTGCACTCAGGAATCACTCCTGGCGGTGCTCGGGGGACCATATGGGATGCTGGGAATCGAACCCCGGTCGGCCGCATGTAAGGCAAACGCCCTACCCGCTGTGCTAATTCTCCAGCCCCCATATTGTTTGTTTTAACACAAAGACAAATGGATCTATCAAATCTTAGATCAATAAGAGGCAATTTGTGATCATTTTTATATCTCACAGTGATGTTACTTCAGTCACTGCGTGAGGCTCTGCTGTGATGCTTAATGCTAGTTGGTAAACTTTCCCATAGATTTGCTGCGATCTTACTGGACTGGGAGTACTATAAAATTGTGAGGTGCTGTGCAGCCACTCACTCTTGCAGGAGCAATAGATCTGGAACAGTTTGGTTGCTTTGCCAGTTCAGTGAGATTCCCTTGAGGAGCTGGTGTCAAGTCAGAGGGTGTCAAATGTAGCTGCAAGCTGCTATGCCTTCAGGCAGAAGGGGGACTCACAGCCTCCATTCTGAAAAAGCCCTGGAGTTGTCAGCCCAGATCAGTCTACCTGGGAAGAGGAAGCAGCATCATGATCTTCTGGAGATTATTTGTGTTTAACGGAGTTTTAAAAATTATCTTTATAGATATGGAGTATGAGTCCTCCCAGGCTTAGGGTGGTTTTTGCAGTTTCTGTTTATTAATTTTCAGGCAAATTATTTTTGCTTCTTTCAGTGCTGTACTAGCTCTGCTCGGGTGTATTCCGGACTCTGTACTCCAGACAGAGCTTCGGGTCCCATCCATGGTGCCAGGGATTGAACCAAGTCAGCTTTGTGCAAAGCAACACCATAACCCTTGTACAGATTTTCCAGTCCAGGGGAAGACACTCTTACTTCTCTCTCTCCAGAATTTTTTTCCAGATTGCCTTTCATTTCATTGGGAGGGGGGAGCGTGGGGGACTGTTGAGCAACACCTGGCAGTGCTCAGGACTGACTCCAGGCTCTGCACTCAGGGATAATTGCTGAAAAGGCTCTGGGCACCATATTGGGTGCTGGGAATATAACCCAGGCCAGCCGTGTGCAGGGCAATCTTTCTGCCTCTGTCTCCCCCTTTATTGTTGTTCTGGAGCCTCTGTTCTTTTTGTGACTAACTGCTCCAGCTAGGACTTCCAGTGCTGCATTGAATCGAAGTGGTGAGAGTCAACACTCATGTCTCATACCTGAGCATAGGGGGAAAGCTTTTAGCTGTCCACCACAAGTAGGATGTCAGTTGTGGACTTGTTATATGATAATGAGTTTTTCCTCTCAGCTCATTTCCTTTGGTTTTCTTGCTGTTACATTTCTATGATGACCAGGGCTCACACATGTGACTGGCAATGGCCAATCTGGAAATAGTTTTGACCAGCAAGAAGTGAAATCCAGAAAGAAGATCCCCCCCAAAATGGGTGGCTTTCATCAGCCAAGTCCAGCATGCCAGAAGTGGGACTGCAGAAGGGAGTTGTAATTCTAAGACTGTTGTAATTCTAAGACTGTTCTGAAAAGGTAGAGGAAACGGAGATGGAAGCCAAGTGTGAGGGTCTGGAGCAATAGCACAGTGGGTAGGGTGTTTGCCTTGCATGTGGCCGACCCAGGTTAGATTCCTGGCATCCCATATCGTTCCCCGAGCACCGCCAGGAGTAATTCCTGAGTGCATGAGACAGGAGTAACTCCTGTGCATCACTGGGTGTGACCCCCAAAAGGAAAAACAAAACCAAACAAATGAAGCAAAGTGTGAAAGCAGAAGGACCCATGTCTAAAGCATCGAAGAGGAGTGCTTCTCACGAAGAGTTCACTTGCCAGAGGATGAATCCAAGCTCCCAATGCTTTGCTTCTCTAACCCAGTGCTCTTTGATTTCACAGAAGGGAAGGTACATGTCTCCAACGTACGGTGGGCAGAAAACGTTACTGAACATGGAGAGGCGGCCATCCCCTGCCACATGGAAGTCCCCGGAGACTCCACCTCCCTGTTGTCTGTGATGTGGTTCCGGAACCAAGGCCCATCTGGTAGTAAAATGCTCGTACACCTGCAGCGCGATGGTTTGCTGGAGTATGGCGAGGAGGAGCTCCGCCTGCACCTGCACTGTTTCCGTGCCAACTCCACAGACTTCATCTTACAGCTGCGGCAGGTGGAGCTGGAGGATGCTGGCGAGTACTGGTGCGAGGTGAATATGTGGAAGCTGCATGGCACCAACTGGGTCAACCTCTCATCTGGCCAGTCCCAGCACCTAGAACTCACCGTGCTGTCTGCAGGTAACCTGGGCTGCATCTACCTGGGTCTCAGGCTAAAGGGTCTTTGGTGCCCTCCTCCGCCTTCCCTCCCAGCTCAGTTTTGTTCCTACTTCATCCTGAGACCACTCAGACTCTGGTAGTGAGGAACGTCACCATTTTCCCCAGTAGAAACATCTGCTGTTTCCCTCCTTGAAACAGACAAGTGAGAGACACATTTGAGTGTCAGGCATATCTGACCTGCTCTAGTTTTTCCCCCATTCCTGGATAAATGGGGGAGTCCATCAACATCTTTAGATAATCAAATGATGATGCTGAAAAGATAAGAAGAGTGGGTAGGGCACTTGCCTTGTATGCAACTGTCCTTGGTTCAATTCCCAGCACCACCCTGAGCACTGCCAGGAATGATCCCGGAATAAGACCTGAGAACTGCAGGGTGTAGCCCAAAAATAAACAAAAACTGATCTGCAGTGGAAATGCAGAGGGATGTGACAATTGAACGTTTTCATCTAGTTCAACCCAAATCAACTACATTGAAATGCACCCTCTGTCTCAAAAACACAAGAAATAACATAAAACCGTTCTCAATGCATAACTGTGGAGTTCACTCCTGATGGTGCTCAGGGGCCCAAGGCATGGCTCGGGACTGAGCCCAGGTCCAAGGGGTGTGCTCTTCTTCCTGATACCCACTTCATCCTAAGGGTCAAGCCACTTATCTCTATGTGTCCCTCAAACTTCCAGGTCTTGGGATCACGATGGTATTTGGTGTGCTTCTCCCAAGGGCACCTCAAAAGCATGAAAGGAAGTGTCTCCTTGAAACCTATTTGTGTTCCATGAATAGGCTGCAGCAAGCAAAGAACACTAGTGGCTGAAAGGTGACCTTCCATATTTGGGAAGGTTGTACAATTGGCAACAATCACTTAGAAGGGATTGTGGATCAGGAGACTCAGATGGAAGTGAGGGTATTACTTCCAGCCTAATGCAGTGCCAGCATATATGGTAGGGATTTATTTAGCATTTGTTATGAAAGCAAAAATCTCTCCCAGCCACACCAGTAAATCTTCCCTGGTGACCAGTGAGCTGGTGGAGATGGAGTCACTTCTTTCTGGTGGGATTTAAGGAGACAAGAAGGGAGCCACGAGCTAATTGTGCAATGAACAGTAGAGAGGCAGAGACTTGGTAGGAGGAGGGTGAATGGAAAGGATCACTGCACATCTCATTCTGAAATAGCACAAGCTTCAGCAACACTCAGCAGGAAGAAGGTTCTGCTGAGGGCATCTGACAACTTCCTTAGATGAGATACTTCATTCAGCCACGGTAAAGTTTCCAAAACGCATATTGAATTTTTCAGTTTTGTTTCCTGGAAGCCCGTCTTTCTCTTCTTCTGTTTCATTCTCCAGCAGAAAATTTCTCCCAAGAATGCAGACAAAATGTTCCTTCCTTGTCTCTCAGCTTTTCTTTCAGTCCTATAGGGAGGATTGGGGTGGGGGGGGGGCTGTATTTTGTATTTATTTTCATTTCTTAAATCTCAGTTACAAAGTTGTTCATGATTGGGTTTCAGTCACATTGTAGTTCAACACCAGTGTACATTTCCCACCATCAATGGTTCCAGTTTTCTCCCCACCCACCTCTGTGACAGGCACTTCTCTCTCTCTCTCTCTCTCTCTCTCTCTCTCTCTCTCTCTCTCTCTCTCTCTCTCTCCATCTCTCTCTCTTTTTCTCTCTCCCTCTCTCTCGCTCGCTCGCTCCCTCGCTCTCTTATGGTTTGCAATACAGATAATGAAAGGTTATCAGGTATATCTCCTTACCCACTTTCAACACTCAGTTCCTGTCCAAAATGATCATCTCCAACTACTAGTGTCCTGTTGGCTCCTTCTCTATCCTAACTTCTCTTCGCCCCCTCATATTCATGTGGCAAGCTTCCAAACCTTGATGAGTCCTCCTGACCCCTGGAGGTTTACCCTGGCCTTGGATATTCTTAAGGCAGTCATCCTATATCTGTCCCTCTCAGGAAGGACTTTCTTTTCTTTCAGTCTTATAGGAAGTACCACATCCTAAGCACATTCCATACCTCTTTTCCTAATGGAATCCTGAAGCTCTGTAACGGCTTTTACAGGGAATGAGTATGTGGGAACTGCACAAACTATGTATTCTGGGTCTGCAGCACTTCTCTCAGGAACCAATTGGAACCTTTGGCACATATACTTAGTGTCAAACTTTATGAATCCTAGTAAAATAGGTATGCAATTTTTCCTGGAGAAAAATTAGTAAACATTGAGCAATCTTTTTCTTTCATACAATCACGGAAGTTTAAAAAACTGTGCCATAACAACCTCACGGGGGTTGTAATAAGTACAGTGAACGGTTTCCACATAAATCCTGATAAGGTGGCATCTGGCTTCTTCGGCCTAGGTTTTTTTCCTAATAGTCGATCTTCATGAATCTGTGGAATGATTTAATGCATATTATTTCCTCAAAGCTCAATAGATGATTGCCCCCCCCCCATTTGGCTAATAAGCAGGTTTTATGATTGACGAGGAAAAGTAACTTGTGCAGTATCAGTGATGGTGCACTGAGAACATGGATATAATCCCAGTTCTTTCTGAGATGTAGCCAACTATGTACACAAGCATACCATGGTTGGCACACCTATCTGCTGTTTCAACCTTGAGTTCTCTCACTGCATAATCCACAGACGTTCGATGTATTCATATAAGATCTGGGACGATTATTGGGTTTTTTTCTCCTTCCCTTCCCTTTTTTCATTGTTTTTGGTGATGTGTTGAGTGAGAGCAACATGCACCCTATTCATAGTGGTGTTTGCACACATCCTGGTTGTAGTGCTCACCATGCATCACTGTGGTGCTCACATGAATAGTCACCAGATTCAGACTCCAGACCACGATGCCAATGCATCACTATTTGTGGTGTTTCTCTAAGTGTATCTCTGAGGCACAAGAGCCCACACTCTGACACATATGATTCCAGGTGAGGGAATCCCCAAAATCAGACACCTATACTGCGCTTGGTACCTGTGGTCAGCACAAGGAATCAAATATACCTCAACCTCAATTTTGCAAGGCAGGTGTTTTAGTCACTAAACTGTCCCTAGGGACCTGCTGGGGGAATGATTCGAGTGAAGCACAGCTTGAAGAGAAAAAGGGGTGTTGTGGCATGTGGGTACAGGATGAAAAGATTTCAAAACCTAGTTTTGTTACTGCTCATACTTTTAGAAGTGAACGTAAACGTGAGGTGGTTGTGTAAACGGAGAACGTGTAGCAGACCAGCGGTGATCCAGGTGAGCACCCCCTACCCACACAAGCAGTGCTTTGCTGGCCCCATTTAGAGCAGTCAGCTCAAAGTTCAGGGAAGACTTGACCCTGAGAGATGCAAAGAGTCACCTCTGGGTTTGAGATGAGGAATTAACACAGGCAGTTCTTTCAGTGTTCAGTGGATCAAGCATCACTTACCCAAAATGCACATTAAGGTCATGGGCCCCTTCATGAAACAGCAGGTGAACCGTATTATATTCTTTTTTTTTACTCCCTCCAAAGGGATGTTCTTCAAGGTGCCAAACGCATTAGCAATGCTGAAAATGGCATGACTGCAGCCTGAGGCAAGTGGGAATTACCTTCAAACCAGTTTTCATCTCTAAAAGTCTAGAATATCATGAATCTTATAGCTTAATCTTTGAAGAATAGAGTGCTGATGTAAGAGCACAGCTACGATTAGCTTCACTCAGTATCAAATCCTCAGAGCTTCTCTGAATATTAATATCCTGTTATTAAAGATGGAAAGGTAAAGGTAAAGGCCCTCCCGTTGATCATCGATTTGCTCGAGCGGGCCCAGTAACGTCTCGATTGGAGACTTTGTTGTTACTGTGTCTGGCATATCGAATACATCACGGGGAGCTTGCCAGGCTCTGCTGTGCGGGCGAGATACTCTTGGTAGCTTGCCGGGCTCTCCGAGGAGGGTGGAGGAATCGAACTCAGGTTGGCCATGTTGGCTGCGTGCAAGGCAAACGCCCTACCGCTATGGAGCGATAGCACAGCGGTAGGGCGTTCGCCTTACAAGCGGCCAACATGGCAGATCCGAGTTCGATTCCTCCGCCCTTCTTGGAGAGCCCGGCAAGCTACCGAGAGTATTTGATATGCCAAACACAGTAACAACAAAGTCTCCAATGGAGACGTTGCTGGGCCCGCTCGAGCAAATCGATGATCAACGGGAGGGCCTTTACTTTACTTTTTACTCTTATTAACGATGGAAATGGGGTTGGATGATTACAATTTAAAAGTTAGTTTCTCTAAGTTTGTGTCCTTGCTTATCATAAACTGGCACCCTAACCCTTTGTCAGTAGCTCAAGGTGCTATTTCTTGGAACCTTTGGGGTTTGAAGACTTTTGCCTTTGCTTCCTCAGCAATTCGGCCAGAGATGCATTGGGCCTGTTCCACCTGTGTGTATGTTGACTTGGATTCTCATGAACTACAGCGGCTAGACACTTGGACATTTCTGTGTGCCTTGTCGAGTGTTTCTGATCCATGTGGCTATATTAAGCCAGTTGAGGAGGGGGAAAGGTAGGACGACACAGAGTTACTCAGGAACTACTCCCGGCTCTCTTCTAAGAAGCGACCCTTGGTTGTGGTTGGAGGACCATAACTGTGATACTGAGAATGGTGTCACCCACACGCAAGGCAAGTGCCTAATTCCTGTGTTATCTCCCGACCACAGGTCAAAATTTTTTCATTCCAATGGGGAAAATGTTAGTAAACACTGTACTAGGCCCTGCTGGTGGAATCTAGATTTAAATGGCACAATGAGACCAACTCAGGTATGCAGTGAAGCAAAGGAGAGGAGACTGCACAGAAATAAAAAGGGGTGGAGAAGAAGTTAAGAGAGAATCAAGCCTAGATCCGGAGGGGGAGACCTAGGAGAGGGTCATGCTCTGGGCAAGGTCAGAAGGACCCAGAGAAGTGGGGTGCAGAGAGAGGCCAGGAGAAGCCATCAGCAAGGGAACTGAGCACTAGCACCCACAAGTGTGGGAGAATGATTTGGAGTTAGGAAAGGGAAGTGTTACTCATCGCAGGTGTGTTGTAATGAGGATAATGTACTGTGTGGGTATGCTTACAGGGATGTGTGTGTGCGTGAATTTGCCCATTCAGACTCATGTACATGCCTCAGAAGTAGCAGTGGGAATAACTCAGAGAAAATTCAGGACCAGAGGCCCAAGCAGTAGTACAGCAGGTAGGGCATTTGCCTTGCATGTGGCCAACCCAGGTTTGATCCCAGGAGAACCACATTTTCCCTCAGCACACCAGGAGTAATTCCTGAGTGCAGAGCCAGGAGTGACCCCCAGCATCGCTGGATGTGCCCCACCCCCCCAAAAAAAGAAAGAAAAAAATTCAGGACTAGCAATAGAATTGAGAACAGGGGCTAAAACATAGATATTTGTTCTGAGAAAGATTAAAGAGTTGTTGTTTTGTTTTTCTCTCTGGCTGTTAGTTTTAAATAGGTCACTGGAACTCTGATGGATGGAAATGGCAGGTCAGCAGGAGTTCAGGCTGAAGAGCAGTATTCTGGAATTTTCTCCTTGCTCCCCTTCCTGTGCTCCCCACTGATTATTTCAGGGACCAATTGCTTTTCCACCCCATTGCTTTTACATGTATTTGTCTGTTATAATTGTAACATGGGGTGTAGAGATGATTCACTGTCACTGTCACTGTCCTCCCGTTGTTCAATGATTTGCTTGAGTGGGCCCAGTAATGTCTCCATCGTGAGACTTGTTTTTTTTTTGCTTTTTGGGTCACACCTGGCTATGCACAGGGGTTACTCCTGGCTTTGCACTCAGGAATTACTCCTGGTGGCGCTCAGGGGACCATATGGAATGCTGGGAATTGAACCCCGGTCGGCCACATGCAAGGCAAACACCCTACCCGCTGTGCTATCACTCCAGCCCCCATCGTGAGACTTTGTTCTTACTGTGTTTGGCATATCGAATACGTCACGGGTAGCTTGCCAGACTTTGCCGTGCAGGCGAGATACTCTTGGTAGCTTGCCGGGCTCTCTGAGAGGGGCGGAGGAATCGAACTCGTGTCAGCCATGTTGGCTACATGCAAGGCAAACGCCCTACCCACTGTGCTGTCGTTCCAGCCCTAGAGATGATTAGTACATGGCATATTTTGATGGATACTTGATTTGTGCAAATACACTGGAGACTAATGAACCTTTTTTCCTTCTTGGATTTACAGAGTCCACATTTGCTGGCAAGATCTGCTCATCCACCTGGTTACCCTATTTGTTAACCATCTGTCCCTTAATTGTGATCTTTCTGCTGCTCATGGTCCTCTCCTTCTTATATTGGAAAGTCAAGAAGTTATCAACCTAGAAACTAAACCCACAGCAAACGAATTCTCTCTGGGACAGCGTGAAAACCAATAGAGAATGATCAACTGCCGGAGGAAAGAAGTTTAAGAGGATGAAAACCATTGAACCGAGAGAGCTTCACAACCTGTAGTACTGGCACTGCATTGGCTGATGACTATGAAACCTGGCTTAGCTCTCTGTGTCTGTGGTCATGAGAATGTTACCTTAAAATAAGAGTGAACACCTATTGAGAAAATCAGAGGGAATTTGTACTGAGAGTTTCTTAGTCTATTACTTCCTTTATCCATGCATCGCCTCTCCCCCAAGAACTAGATGTCACCCCCTTAATCCATTTTACATTTGCCACATTTCATAAGGTTAGTTGGCTTAGTTGGTTGGTGGTTTTTTTTGTTGTTTTGGGCACATCAGGTGGTTCATCCCTGGCTTGTGCTGGAGAGTCATTCCTGACTTTGAGCCCTTTACAGGGATTGAGTCCTATGATTGCAGATAGAGAATAGCCACGCTCGCACAGTCTCTTAGAGTTGAACAGAGCAGGGGTAAATGGATTCTTCTGCCTCTTTCCTAGAAACAGTCCGGGCACGCTGGTGCTTATTGATCCCTTTTGTCCAGGTGTAAGGTCTAGGAAAGAGTCTCATGTCAGCAAGGCAAAAGGAATTGATTCTACCTTTGATATCAAGTCAGCCTCCACAATTACAATGGTTCGCCTAGCTAGAGAGGTAGTATAGCAGGTAGGACTCTTGCCTTTACAGTCAACCCAAATTCAATCCTTAGCATTTCCTATGTCCCCTGAGTCCTACCAGTTACTATCCCTGAGCAACAAGCAAGTAGTAAGACCTGAATATGGTACAATGTGGCCCAAAATACAAAATATATTTAATAATATATTTGGGTCAGAATTGCCACTTTTCTTCTCCATCTCATCACTTAGTGCCATCCAAGAGCAAATTGATTTTGACTCAATCAATGTTAATACCTTGATAAAATGAGAAAATATTCTCTACCCTAGGCTCCTTTTTCTTAAAGACTCATTAAATCACTGCTAAAGATTAATGATTATGTTTGTTTTTTTAAGGTTTCAGGTAACAGTAACCTGTGAAATCATCGAAGGTCACATGTCTCTCCTCTCTCCCACCACAATACCCATACGGGAATGTCAGACTCCTACTCCCTCTCAATTCCTTACTTTCCTTTGACCTGACAGTACTGGCTTAGACAGGAAGGGAGGTGGTGGCAGTAATTTGGAGGAGAAAGGGATTAAAGATTTGCACCCTGCTCTAGCAGGAAGTAGAGATGTGGACAGAGCAGTTAGTTGGTCTGTCTGGTTTCTCAGGGTCCTCCATTCCCAGCCAGGAAAACCCAAAAGTTTTGGGGGTGGTAAACGCCATGATTTATGACTTCTATCACTGTCCCAGAAGAGAAACCAGCCATCCTCACTGTGTGAAGCACCTTACCTCTGGTTCACTAGTTGCTCAGGCTGTTGTTCAAGCCCAATTTGGAAATCAATCAGTGCGACCTAACAGACTTGACAAAACACATTTATAAATTTATTGTCCATATTACCAGCGTGTTGCTTTAATGCACAGTGCTTTGCATTTCCAAGGAGAGAAATTCATTTTAAATTATTTTATCAGGCAAACACGTTCTCTCCAAATATAATTAGTTTTTTTGCAAGGGGTTTATTGGCGACTAAGTGAATTCTCAATAAATAAATAGATTTATTGTGGGAATTCTATTGATCTACAAATTCATTCCCACTATAGATCTATCTATATATTTAAATTTATCTCCCTTTATAGTCTTGTTTGGGCTGGAGCGATAGCACAACGGTAGGGCGTTTGCCTTGCACGCAGCCAACATGGCCGACCCGAGTTCGATTCCTCCGCCCCTCTCGGAGAGCCCGGCAAGCTACCGAGAGCATCTCGCCCGCGCGCCAAGCAAGCTCCCCGTGATGTATTCGATATGCCAAACACAGTAACAACAAAGTCTCCAATGGAGACGTTACTGGGCCTGCTCGAGCAAATCGATGAACAATGGGAGGGCCTTTACCTTTACCTTTATAGTCTTGTTTAAAATATTCCAAATGTTTCTTTACAAAAGTCAACACATTTGTTTTCTTTCTCTCATGCAAGAGAGCATATTTTTTAGAAAAGAAAGCTAAAATTAAACTTACCCTCCACTGTTTAAATAGAAACCTGTATTTTCAGATCACAAGTCCTTCTCTCCCAGAAGGGAGAATAACATGACACTCGCCATAACCATGCAACCAGACTCGCGCCAGGCTTTCATTTGGGGCGCCCTGAAGAGAGGGAGGTGAGACCACTTCCCACCCCAAGGGACCCATCCCTGGCAGCCGAAAACCTCCAGAACCCATCTGCCGCCATGCTCATGGCCGCTCTCCACACACTTGGCCCAATCACCAACCACGAGTGAATCTATTCCTGGACTGTGAGGCCACATTTGCAGCCACATGATACTTCAAACTACACACCCATGCTCCAAGATTGCCGCACCACATTTGATAGGGTTCAAAGTAGGAGACAACCAATATTAGAGGGAAATATACATATTTTACATATATATATATATATATAAAGCACACAAGGCTCAACCTTTAACAACATGTAGGGCTTAATGGCCCCTGGATGAAATATAGCAATCTCCACACTCTTTCCTCTAAGGATACCTTTTTGTAGCATTTCATAACAATACAAAATATATTATTTCTGTTCTGCTTTGGTGCAGGGATTGGGTTCGGGATGGAAACATCTGAAATATGGTGGTGGGAAGGTGTAATGCTGGTGGGATTGGTGTTTGAATATTACCTGTAATGAAATATTTTGAAGTACTTTACAAAAGAAAAATTTTTTAAAAAGTGAAGAACTTAGACACCAAAAAAAAGAAGAAAACTATTTTATGTTTTAGAGCATTTTCATCTACCTTTATTTGATAAGGAGCTATTAGGAGCAAAAAAGTACAAGTGATTCTAAAATGGGACAATTGTATCCTTTCAACTATTTCCAAGTTAATAAGAGATCTGTTTTTATTCAATATTAACGTCAAGGGCTCCATGCCAGGCTGTGGGGTGGGTGAGAGCCTTCCCTGCCCAAGGGACCCAGCTCTGGCAGCTGACCTCCATTACCAAACCACTGCCACAGTCCAGGCTGCTTTCCTGATGCTCAGGCCAAGCCTCACACATGAATGAAGTCCCACAGAACCCGGATGATGCGGAACTTTGTTACCTTGGAATCTGGACTCAACAGGACCCTGGATCCTCAGCCTGCTTCCTCCAGTCTCTGGTGACTCAGGGATCACACCCATAAGCCATACCCTGCTGGCACCACATAATCTCATTGGCTACTCTCCAGAACTCAGGATGCTCCTCCCAGACGGGAGTATAAAGTGAGACTCCCAGAACCATACCACCGAACTCTGCACCGGGCTGTGAGGGAGGTGAGAGCCCTCCCCATCCCAAGGGACCCAGCCGCGTCAGCCAACCTCCACTACCCAACCACCGCCATGCTCCAGGCTGCTTTCAGGACACATTATAAGACACTTCCTACCCATTTGCCACAATTACTACACCATATCTGATGGGGTTCAGACAGTAGGCAACAAATCATAGAGAAAAATATATAAATATATGCCTCTCTGAGAGCCGGGCAAGCTATCGAGAGTATCCCGCCTGCACAGGCAGAGCCTGGCAAGCTCCCCATGGTGTATTCGATATGCAAAATACAGTGATGACAACAGGTCTCATTCCTCTGACCCTGATAAAGCCTCCAATCGTTAAGAAAAGATGAGTAAGAAGAGGCTGCTAAAATCTCAGGGCTGGGAGGAATAGAGATGTTACTGGCACCCACTTGAGTAATTCAATGATCAACAGGATAACAGTGATACAGTGATTAACGTCAAAGTTTTATGAGGTTTATCTAAAACATAATTTTTGCCGATAATAAGCAGAGAATGGAAATCTGAGTAGTAATTGAGATCATGGATAGAAATACAGAATTACATAACTAATGAACAAATAGTCTGATGAATAGAAGTATTTAGAATTGGTGACTAGTTGAAGCAGTTCTGAAGTGTGAATCCACTATGCTAATGAGAAATGAGAAATTCACCACCACTAAAGCAGTCCACATATCCTGATAGCGACGAGTAACGAAAAATAAGTTTCTTTTCAATATTCAGTTGATGGAGGCATGTTTAGGAGCAGCTGGCTCATGACAAAAGATGAAAGCAGTGATAGAAAATCATGAGGCACAGGCCAGAGCAGTAGTACAGGATAGGGTGATTGCCTTGCATGTGGCAGGACTGGATTTGATTCCCAGCATCCCATATGGTCCTCCAAGCACTTCCAGAAGAGATTCCTGAGAGCAGAGCCAGAGGTTACCCCTGAGCACCATCATGTGGGCCACTACCCCTCAAGAAAAAAGAAAGAAAGAAAAAAAGAAAGAAAGAAAGAAAGAAAGAAAATTATGAGACATATTTTTTCTTAACAGTTTTATACTGGAGTTGCTCGTAATCCCAGACTTTCATGTTACCCTGTTGCAAAAGGGGCTGTTATCCCTGTTGATGTTAAGGATCTTAGATAGTACTTAAAGGTAAAGCATTTATCTGGTATGCATGAGAACTGGCTTTGATATGTAGCACAAAGAACAAAAAGAGGAAGGGAGGAAGGGAGGAGTGAAGCATGAAAGAAAAGGAAGGAAGGAAGGAAGGAAGGAAGGAAGGAAGGAAGGAAGGAAGGTGGGAAAGGAAGGAAGTTGGGAAAGGAGGGGAAAAATGTCGTTCATAGAGACTGGAATTTTTCCTCAATCATGCAACCACATGCAGAAAAATAAAAGTAAAATTTAAAAACAGATCTGCCAACAGAAGGCCTTGGCCTCCATCCACAAAGGAAATACTATGCTCAAATTCATTATTATGGGAAAATCTGGTGATAATAAAATCCACCTATCATAGTTGTTATGACAATAAGATCAGATATGAACATAGTCT